CCATGTGTCACTAGCAGAAGAGTGTAAATTAAAAACAAATGGAGGAAGAAATGTTTTAACCCCTTTGAAGGTAAATTAAAGAAAGTATCAGGATCTGGAAATGTACAGAGGAAGGAAACTGAGTCGATCTGTGTCTCACTGGCTCCCCCAGGAATGCTGCAACAATGCGCTGTCACTGCTGCTTTGCCTCTTTATTTCCTTCCAATCACTGAAAAATCCTCCCAGTATTTGGTGCTGTGTCCCAAGCATCGCGTTAAGCGTCTCAGATGCTTTCTTGCGCCTGCTCCCCACAGCACCCTGCTGCCAAAGGGGCTGTTCCTATGTCACAGCTGAGGAAGCTGGGGCATGGAAAGTAAGTGACTTCCAAAGTCATCAAGTGGCCAAGCCTGGATTTCTAACCAGAGCCGCTGAATGAAAGGTCCCCCTTAACCATTCCTTGTCTAACAGCCATGCTGTGGCGCCCCTTACAAACAACAGGGCTTGAAATCAAGGGGGCCTCAGGTTGCCTTGATATTTCAGAATTTCTCTGGTCTCTTGCTGGTGGGCTGGATTATTGCCCTCCACTCCCTTGGTGGGTGGGCCACCCTCTGCTTTCTCAACATCAGAGACTTGGGCGGGGGGTCTCCCATTCTTCCCCCTATGTGCTCCATCATCTGGCCACACCGGACCACAGGGAGGCCAGGACGGCTCCATGTAGCTCGGTGCCCAGTAAGGGGAAGAGCTCATTCTTTGTATAGAAACAAATAATAAAATAGAGAATAAAAAAGAAACCACCACGGTTCTGCCACCAAATAGTGGCCACTATTAATAGAGAGCTATGACTATAGAAATAGATGTGGATGTGAAAGATATAAATACACACATTATTATTTTACAAATCTGAATCATGCTTTTTTGTTACCATTTTATACTCAACATGTTCTTAAATTCTTCAAAGGTCTACACTAGCTGGTTTAATGCCTTTGGTACACAGTTGGTTTGTGGTCATTCAGTGTCCCCTCTATGTGTAATCCCTAGGTCCCAATAACTTGTATGAACAAGTTATTTTTTTATAGGCAAATGATGAACAGGGAGACCCTGTCCATTGAATAGAAGCCTCCAACATTAATAACAGTTGCCTATGTTTTCAAACAGTTATGGTACAATTTAACATAGGTTCATACCCAACAGTGCACCCTCAAGGACTGCCAGAGACTTTCTCAAATAATTAGCTAACATTGAAATTGACTGAACTATCAGTAGCCTCAGAAATAAAGGTAATTGGGAGTAATTATTCTCTTGAACATATTAAGATTCCTAGTTAATAATTCTTTTTGTCTATGTTTAAAATGTCGGTTTCCTAATTTTTAGGTGATGTACACTAAGCTCATGGGTCAGACTCTCATTTTTGAAAAACTTAGGTAATGTATCCAAACTGGGTTTTCTGGCATTCTTCCTAACTCCCTTCCTGTTCCAGCAGTCCCCTCTGTGTGCCGCCTCAGGTCCCTGCGCTGGGGTTTGTCTGGGATCTGGCATCGGGCAGAGCTGCCCACTCTCTCCTCACCCAGGGTTACCTTGTGCTTCAGGCCCCAACAGGGTCCCCAGTCGCTTCTGCCCCCTCCTCAGAGATGACCTGTGCTGCTGGCTGGAGCCGGATCTCACTGTGTGACCATGCTGGCAAGGTTTGGCCCGAATGCTGCCCTTCACATCCTTGGGGGCCGGTTCTCAAGGTCATGGGGGGAGCCCTGGGAAAGGGGCAGTCAAGGCGCAATGCCACTTCAGGGCTCTGACGTGCAGGCCCCGCTACGCATTCTGTAAGGAACCAGAATGAACTGAAGGCAGTGTCAGTGCTGCGTTTTCGGGCACATGGTTCTTCAATGTTGTCCTTGATGCTAAGAAGTAGCTTTGTTCACAGAAATATGACCCGGAAACAGCTTTGTGGTTATTTGTTTATTTGCAAACCCCATAAATTACTGCTCTGATACTCAGAAATGACATAAAGTTCTGTGGGTTGTTGGGAAGGCTCTCTCCGTAACAATCTAGGTACTCACAAAGCCGACAGGGAAATGGGCAGTTTTCTAAAACGTCTTTGCTCTCGCTGTTTACATCACTGGTCGGATCTTCATGCCATCTTTCCTCAGGATGGCACTAGGTGGGCTCATTAGCACCTTTGAGGGAAGCTTTCCTGTATACCAAGTGGAAAGGGCGATCTCCCCAAACTTCTCTAGAATAAACTTAAGACATACAATACATATTCACCCACCAGATACCTCCCCTAAATAATTTAGCTTTGTCTATCCTTTAATATTCAGCCCTGAGACTAAAGTCAGTTAAATTATTTAACAAAGCCATCACACTCCTCCCCTTGCTCTTCTCAGGCAGTTCCTCGGCTGTTCCTGTGTTTGGCTCTTGCATATAAATCTGAGAATCAACTTCAGCTAAAAAAACAAAAACAATAGCCTCCTTGGAATTTTTATTGCAATCTAATATCCCTTTTTATAGAGAAATTGAGATTCAGAAGTTCATTTACCTGAGGACACACAACCAGTAAGAGGTACAGCAGAGCCTCAAAGCTGGACAAGTGAGCGCCAAGCCCACACGCGAGGACCACACTGGGCCAGTAACGGGGTTTGAGGCAGTGTGTGCAGGACGGACCCACCATGGCCATGCTGCCCATGCTCCCCCTTAAGCTGTGTCTGTGACTCCTCCTTCAACACAACCCATGTGCTGCGGGCCCCCTGCAGTGCTCATGAGGGTTTTGCTAGAAGTCACTGTGGTCCTCTGTCTTTCACAAAATAAAAAACATCTTATGCTTCCTTCATGATGCCCTACCATTGATTGGAAGCTGAGGAAGGCACTGTTTAATCCCCTGTATACCCAAGGTCAGTAGAGTTCATTCCTGAGCGTTAAGTCAGCATAACAAAGGATTTGTTAAATACTTTACAAACACTAGATCCCAGAAACCTAGTGTAGAATTAAATTTCTGGCCTGATTGTCAGAAGCTTTTAACAGCTAATACAGGGACAATGAATAAAGCGCATGAATATTCAACATCATGCTATAACTGCTGCCAAACCGTAAACCAATGTGCATCACTCTTATATATGTGGCTTCTAAAAGTCAAGTGCATGGAGAGTGAGCCGCCAGCTTCATGCCTGTTCCTCAGAGAGATGGATGGTGCTAACACTGGGTGTGTTTTAAGGAGCGGAAGGACCTGGAGATATCTGTAGGCAGTGCTGTCTGGAGAAGGTCAGAGGTGATGCTTCAGACCTGCACAGCCCTGGCTTTGTGCCAGAGAGCAGGGCTTCTGTGGAGACTGAGCTGTCTCTGCTGAGTTGAGCTGACTTCAGAGAAATCAGGCCAAAGGTTACTTTCCATTTCCCTCCTTATCAGAAATGGGTAAAAATCATGCTGGAATACAGCATACCTTCCGCTGATCTGAGCAGGTATAAACGTTTGAGGAGAATGCACCTTGTGATTATTCTCATACTAAGGACGAGAATTCCCATGCTCAGAACCAATTGAGATGGCCCAGAAGCAAGTCCCATTTTCCCCACTCTGAGCACAGGAAATTCAGTGAAGGCTGCACTGTTTTAAGCAGCACTTGGGGATCATTTCTGGGCTGCTCTGCAGAGGGAAAGCTCTCAGCCCAAGAGAATCACCCAATCTCACCGCGGGAGCAAAGCAGCCCAGACAGGTGCAGGACAAGGAACTTGGAGTTGAGTCCTAAGGTTGGTTATCCACTGTGGCAGCCTTAGGCAAATCACCTAACCTGTGGGTGGTCTCAGTTTCTTATTCCGGGAAATGAGATAATAAAAACACCCCTCTCACAGGATTCGTGCAAGGCTTAAAGTGATGTAAAAGATATGAAACTATTATACAGTGTTTTTTGGTATTATTAATAAAGATTGTAATGAAGCCCAGGATCTCTCAACTGTTACTGTTGGCAAGTTCATCCTAAAATTTGTTCTCTTCCTAGTACAGCTGGAATGACATTCTGCTTCCAGGAGAAACTGGTCTTCTGGGCTTGACCCCTCAGCTTAATATTTTTCCACCAGGGAACCTCCTGCCTTTATGCTTTTTGTCAAAGGCTGTATTTGTCAAATAGTAATATCATTTGATTATTGTATATGGGGGTTGATTACAGGTTTATGAGGCTGGTTGTTATGTATGTTTGAGTTTCTTCCTTATTTTAGAACTCGTGTGTGTGTGTGTTGGGGTATGTGCATGTGTTGGGGTGTATTGGGTGTGTGTGTGTTGTGGTGTGTGGAGAGGGGGCTATGCTGGAGGTGGTTCTCTTGCCTGCATGGCTGGTATTCGTGTTTACTGATACCCATCATTCCACAAATACTTTTTTAAATTTAAGCTCCAACTATGTGCTGTTCAAGTGGTGGGGAGACATTGATGGTCTTCAAGATCATCATGTGCCCTAGAGACATGACAGTTCCATGGAGGAACAATTGGCATTACACAGCAGCCTGGTACAGGTGCTGGGGAGGCAGAGCCCCCGGATCTTGCCCAGGGGAGTCTTGCCAGAAGAAGGGACAGTGACAGTCAAGCTAAGATCTGGAGGAGGAGGAGTTGGGGACAGCAGCAGGACAGAAGGCCCAGAAATGCAGGCTGTGCTGCAAGAAGCAGAGAGAGTAGCTGGCCAAACAAGTGCGCCCATGGACTTGGCCAGCTTGGCTATGTCGTGGTGGAAGCTGGGGGACCCTGGCCACGCTGCTCAACCTGGCAGGTCTCAATTCCCTCCTCTGCAGGCATTGTACTCCTGTCACAGGGCATTAGAACAACGTAAAGCACTATTTTTAAGGGCTGAAACTGCACTCGACGTTAAACATATGATGCTTGTTTATATTATACATATATAATATCAATATATAATATAAACTCAATACAAATGTTTGCAAAATAAAAATACATCCACTGGTGTACAGTGCTTTCAATTTCGAGTATATTTTTCTTTTTAGAGAAATGCACGGAGTGTTTTTTCTAACCCTTCACACTGGTCTGTGTTGCAGACGCCTCCCAAGTCCTGGACCTTCTCCCCTCTGGAAGTCCTCCACCGCGGGGATTCACTGTGGTAAACAAAAGCAGCCTGGCACCATGGACCTCGTCGGGCTGCTCAAGTCCCAGTTCCTGTGCCATCTCGTCTTCTGCTACGTGTTCATCGCCTCGGGCCTCATCATCAACACCGTCCAGCTCTTCACCCTCCTGCTCTGGCCCGTCAACAAGCAGCTCTTCCGGAAGATCAACTGCAGGCTGTCCTACTGCATCTCCAGCCGTAAGAGACTCGCGCCTACTTCTCTGTTTGTATCTGCCCTGCTCGCGAGTGTCAGAATTAGGCCTTTGTAGGTTTGCTTGGCTTTCAGGGTACAGTAAGCTAGTTTGGGGGTTTCTGTTGCAGTTTTTTATTTTAGGTTTGAAATGTCTATTTTGTCCTCACTCTTAAAAAACTATTTTTTGAATGAGTGATGCCGACAGCGTGAATTGTACAGGCACAGAGGGCACCCCATGGGAGGCAGAATGCCTTCTGTCTGTTTCCCTAGTGCTCCTCGTCAGGGTGTCAGTGACAGCGATTTCTTAGTTATCCATACAGAAATGGTGTACATGCATGGGCCATTTCTCTAAGGAAATACGTATCTATATGTGGCTCTTACATGTGTACGCATATACAGGTGAGTTCTTCTGTGTATACATATAGATACATAATACATATCTTAAAAAACCAAGTGGCAATATAATATATTGTTCTCTTTCTGGCTTCTTTTCTTTAGCTTTTTACTTTGAGATGACTATAGATTCACATGCAGTTGTAAGAAAGAATCCAGAGAGATGTCCGGAGAGAGACCCTGCCGCCAGTTTCCCCCAGTAGAAACCTCTTGCACAACTAGGCTGACATCTCAAGAAAGCTGACACCACACACACACCAACTTTACTCAGATTTCTCCGGTTTTGTGTACACTCATTTGTGTGTGTGTGTGTGTGTGATTATACTAGACTGTTTTAAACATGGCTAATTCAACTGGCCTGAATTTCAAAAATGGAAACGAAAAAAGATGAGTCAGAATATTAGAGGTGTAGAGATGAGTTTTGCTGTTGGTCAACCTTAAACCTAGACCTGTTCTCAACAGTCAGAAATGCAGTGCATCATCACCAATGGGTGTGAATATATTTAAACATATGAGCTCTTTCAAGTTAAGCAATTAAAAAATCTCAGCTACCTTAGATTAGACCAAGAGTTCAAAATCATTGCAATCTTCCCAAAACCCTTTAAATGAAGCAGTCAAACCTGAATTTGAATCAAAACAATACAAGATGAATACAGTTATCCAAGGGGATCACTACTTAGCCAATCAGTTATCTTTTAAACTTAAAAATACTAACTTGTGAGAGATAAAGAAATGACGGAAACATCCTTATTTCTGATTTCTTTACTGACTCAGACCTTGCAAATATGTCTGATTCTATTTCTGATATGGTTGACTGCTAGATCTACTATGTCTTGTACTAAAGTGCTTCACATACGTGTCTTGAAAATCTTTGTAAAATCATAAAGCTAAGTTGTAATTGTGAAAAATACGTATCTTTAATCCATGTGTCTATGGCCTATCAGTACAGCCAGCCATTCAATGCCATGGTACATGATTTAAGTTCCCTTGTCATACATCTCCTTCTAACATTGCTCCCTGATATTTGGGCATCTACTGTGGTACAGGACAGGGAGCAACTTGCCAGAGCAGGGCAGAGGCAGTAAGAGGTGGCCTGAGCCAGAATCATGACTGACAGAGAAGAGAGTGGCATTTACACCATCAAGAGAAAGGATAGTTGTCTGAGATTTACCTTATATTTCTACATGTCTTTTTACATGCTAGCCATAGTTGTCTATTTGAACAAAATTTAAATTTAACACAGCAATGCCAATTGCACTTTTCGTCAAAACATGCATTTATCAGATTTGCATGCACCTATAGAGATTCCAAAATCTTTCAGTTTGGAATTTGAAGACACGTCTATCTGGACTTTCATAACCCCTATCCCAATTTCAAATAAGTGGCTAAGAACTGGGTTTCTCTTTAGGAGTCAAGAAGTAAGAGAAGCATTCAGGATGGGAGCTCCTAAGAGTACTGTATTTTGCTCTTGGTAGGCAGTAAAGGCATCCCACAGTTAGGGCAGGATTAAGCCAATATTCTTCTAAGTGCACATTAGTCTGTGTGCTTCAGGTGGAAATTAAGATGAGTAACAAACTCAGAAAGCCAGGCAGATTTTTACCCATCAAAAATTATTTAGAGTAAGTCCCAGCAAAGCTCCAGACCTAGCATCAAAGACCCCCACACAGGGCACAGTGAAGGGCAGGCAGCCTCATTTTGCCAAGAGGCCTGGAAGCACATTCACCCGGACACATCCCATCCGGGTACAGCCTGGATGGAGCTCTGGCCTACTGCCCCCCAGGAAAGCTTCCATGGGCTGTGGGCTAAGCCAGAGCAGAGCCATTGACAGCCATCTGAAGAAGGAAGGGAAGTTTCTCACTCTCCTAGGGTGATCCTGCTCCTGGAGAAAGCGGTGCATGATGCTTTGAGCATGGTTTATGGGCAGTGCACATAAGGAGCCCATTCCCATTGGGGGAGGAGCCCACCCACCCCCTTCCCGGCTTCTCTGTCCCTGGGATCTCAGCATGTGTTAGATAACAAAGCTGCTCCCCCTGTCTTTCTCCTTTCACTTGTTCTCTGTAGTTTGATAGATTTCCTTACATCCTGAGTGCTTCTCAACAACAAAGGACATGTAAAGACAGTTTGGGAAGCTTCACCAGACTGTTGGTCATCACAGGCCCCCATCTGTGAGCTGCTCAGCAGCTCAGAATAAGAGGTGGTCAGGCCCCTCTGTTCACTTTGTTCTCCTCCTCTTCCCTCTAAGTTAAGATAAAAAGTGTTCACGGGGTTTAATTGTGTCTTCAGGAATATGAATCACTCTAATGCTTACAAAATCAGTAGCATTCATCATTTGCAGCTGACTTTTTAAGGAAAAAAGGCAGAATGAATAGTTTCTTAGAGACTTGGATTCCCTTATCACCCTGTTCACTTTCTATTGATGGAGCTCTGTCATCACCCCTTTTACCTTCAATGTTTGTTAGGAACTTGGTGTTGTACCAGCTAAGTCCAAACTAGCCACCAGTCCTGATGTGTTCAAGTTCATATGCAAAAGGCCACACTGATGTAAATGACAAATAGAAACAAAATTCAGCAAAGATGGCGTAGTTACGAGCACAATGCACAGGGCAGAGAATTTTGGTCTAGAGGCCAGGGCCAACAGTGTAAATAACAATTTGAAAGTACAGTTGACCCTTGAACAACACAAGTTCGAGCTGTGCTGGCCCGCTTTTAGGTAGGTTTGCTTCAATAAATAAAATGGAAACATTTGGAACTCTGCGGCAATTTGAAAAAAAAAATTCTCAATTTTTCTCTAGCCTGCCTTATTGTAAGAATTCAGTAAATAATTCATATATCATACAAAATATGTGTTAAGTGATTATATTATCAGTAAGTCTTCTGGTCAACCATAGACTATTAGTAGTTAAGTTTTGGGGGAGTCAAAAGTAATACTTAGATTTTTGACAGCACAGGGCGTCAGCGACCCTAACCCCTGCGTTGCTCAAACTGCATGTTGAATCTAGATGGCTGGTTTTGGGAGGGCTGTTTTACTTTATTTTTGCTTAGATTTGCTAAGACAGGCTGACTTTGCATGCTGAACGAGGAGGGGGAAGATGGCTCGAGCTTCTGCAAGGAGGAGGTTACAAGTGGGGTGAGGAGTACAATTGAATTGGCTTTCCATTGCATAGGATGTGCCTTTTAATATCTAGAGAAGGGGAGCCAAGACTGGCTGGCTTGTTTTTCTTCACCTTTAACACTGTGGGTTTAAAAAAGACCAAGGAAGATTAGGAGAACCTATTTACAGCGACAGGTTTTTAAAAGGATGGTGGGGAAGACTACAGATGACCTTAAGGTCCTGGAAAGGACTGGTGACACAAAACAAAGTGCAGCCTCCTCCCCGCCCCCAAGCCCTGGGGCCTTGCTTTCAAATTCCTTGCCCTGGCTAGTGAGCGCTGTGCATTTGAGCCTGTCACCTCATTTTCCAAGCCCAGTGATGCTCCTGGTTTTCAGTGACTATCTGACACACAGCCCCACTAGGTTCCTCTAATGGGCAAGGCCACACGGTGGTGAGGAGGGAGTCAGAACTCAGAGCGCAAAGATGCTAAATAAAACATCCTGCCCTCCTGCCTCCAGGCTGTCACCTTGGGCAAGCCACACAACCCGGAGTCCAGCACAGAATAAAAGGTCTGATCACAATGGATGGTCAGAAAAACAGAATGAGGTGCTTGGCACAAGAATGTTTCACAGATTACTCAAAGTACCTCACATTTAGATTGAAAACTGGAGCTTGTGTCTAAGGAGGGAGGGTGGGCAAGGGGATCTTCTTTCTTCCCATTGTGGCACTAACTGCTTGGATAGATCGCTTCAAAACACAAGTGCATTTGAATAAAGGGGATGAGGTGGAATTGAGCAAGATTCCAGTATTTTTCTCATAAAAGGCTGAGGTTTTTTGTTTTGCACTGGGGAAGATGTTTATTTGTCCTTTCAGCTTCCCTTCCGCGCCCTCAGCTTGTGGGTTATGGTCACTTTGCTTGTGGTAGGTGATGGTTGGGTATGAAGAGAGATGCAAGCTCTCTGTCACCTCCTACAACACTGCCCGTGGGTCCCACCTTGAAACAGATGTCAGTTTTCCTGCCATAATAATACTGCCCATTCACAGTGGACTCCAGGATGTAGGAGTCGTTTCAGAGCTATGGCCCAAGAAGCAGGGGTTGGTAGCACGTCAGTCCGTGATCCCCTCTGGGGGGGGGAGGATCAGGGCTCCGTCACTTGGCAGAACAGCCTCCATGAGAGATGCACAGGTAGGCAGGACGGGAGCCCCAGATGCCAGGGAAACTGCACACCGATGCTTCTAGTGCCGGCCCATGTCTGAAGGTGACGACCACAGAGAGGGAGGCAGCTCTGTTCTCCTGCGAGAAAGTGGATTCTTCCCCCAGGAGCAGGTGTCATTACTAAGAAAGTGACCCAGCAAAGAGGGGGTCGCTGTGGCATTTTGCAATGTGACCTTGGGAGAAATACTACATCCCATTAACTTGGCCTCTGGCCTAATCCATGTCTCCAGCCAGCCTGAGGGATGGATGGATGCTGTCTTTCCTCATTTCAGTCCAAGCTGATTCTTCACCCATTTCAGCCTTGA